GGGGGGCGGGGCGTGGTGTGCGTGTCAATGCTCCCGGTTCCCACTCGTGAGCTCCACGCTCGGCCTGGGGTCCGCTTGCCTGTCCCTCAAGGTTCCCCCAATTCAGGCGTCCCCCTGCAATCCTGCCAGGGCCTGGACCCTCGGGTGGTGGGCGAACAGGGGAGCGCTCCCCGGCTAGGCGGAGGGGCCTTCAAAAAGCCACGCCCCCACCGGCGCCCCTAGCTGTCAGAGAGAGACCCCGCCTTGGGCCACGCCACGCCCCCCAGGGGCTTGGGGCGGTTGGCCGCTCGGAGGAGTGTCTCTGGGCGGAGGTTCCGGCCTGCCACCCTCTCCTGAGGACTCCGGGATTCTTGGGTGCTCAGAGCCCGGGAGTGCCTTGGTCACGTGAGCGAGATGCGTGGGGCGACGCGGGCAGCAGAGGATGCTGTGTCCAGGCCCCGCGCCCAGGACACTTAGTCACTTTGCGCCTCTTCGCGGCCCCCAGTCCCCGCCAGAAACGAGCTTGTGCACTCTTTTCCGGAGCTCATGGGCCTCCCCCACCCCCGAGAAACGGGCCAAGTGAAAGCTGGGCTCCCATAGACGAGAGTGTGAGCAGAACTGCCCAGGCGCCGTGCTACAGCCTCGGCTGAAGGGATGTTGGCCCAGCCATTTTAGAATCAGCCTGGCGTTCTCCTTGGGGCAAGGGAGACCCCGAGCGTCGCCCCTCAGGCCCCTCAGGGGCCCCTCCAGTCACTTGCTCCCGCTGCCCCGCCCGGCTGGAGCCCCGTATTTCCCCGACTCCGGCAGAAAGACTTGCCACTAGAGGGAGTCCTACGTTGGCCAGAGAGAAACGGAGGGGAGGCCCTAGGAGAGGACCAGGAGTAATTGGTGGAGGCAGTGCACGATGCCCCCTGTGACCCATCCCCAGCAAACTGGTTGTAGCCTGGGACTCTCATATTCCTAGTCACGTCCCTCTTCCTATGGGTGTCCAGCACAGGGAAAGAACCCATCTTTGACTGGAGGTTCCAGAGGTTGAGCAGAAGTTCCTGGGCCCAGGCTGGAAGCCCCCATAAGTCAGCCTAAGCCAAGGGCCCTGAGCCTCAGCCCCTGAGGGTGACTCTGCAGTTGTTGACACCTACTCAGCCCAGCCTCCCCTAGCTTGGCTATCCACCTGTCTGTTCTGAGGCCTGGGGCCTCTCCCCTAACCTGAGGAAGTCAGGCAGGATGACCTTAGGGTGGATCTTCGAGGGACTCTCTACTAGGTGCCCAGGGAAGAAGGAGGAGTCCCTGCCTGAACCCACCTCCCCTGGGGCCAAATGCAAACGCTAGCAGTAGGGGGGGGTAACTGATGACACACTGAAGTAAAGGTCTGAGGCCCAGCTGCCCTTGGGCTCCCACTGACACTAGGACATTACAGAGAGGCCTGAGGTTAATGCTAGTACTGACACCAGTGTGATCAGGCAGGGGCTCTATAAGGAGGGGTGGGTTTGTGGGCAGAGCCTGAGCCCTTCCAGCAGGGACTTTGTCCAGGGATAGTGTGGCCACTAGTGAGGCCAGAGGTCACAAGGCTGGGAGGGAGATGCATCCTCCACAAGCATGTCCCCCCAGCCCAGCTTCCTCCCCACCTTTGCCACTCCAGGGTTCTCGTAGGTGACCGTCATCCTTCTGAACTTCACTATCCTGGGAAGGCTTTAAAGGACAGATTCAGGAAAGAGTCTTGGCTAACAGCACTCAGTTACTGGCCTGGAGCCAGGACAATGTGCTACTAGGCCTTCTGCTCTCAACTGCTCCCCTGCCTCCATCCCCACATTTGTGCCAAGATCACGTGGCTTATTCTTAGCCAATGAATGAGCAGGGAGTTGGAGGGGTACCAGTGCTAGATCCCCTGTTAACCTGGTCAGGCCTTGCTTGGAGCTGCTCTGCAGTCTGGGGCTCTTGCTGCCTGTGTCTCCTTACTCCTCCTTCTGGTCACAAGTGTCAGCCCTGCATCTGGCACGCAAGCCTTCTGCTCTGTTCCTGCTTCTTCCCCTTTGACCCCATCTTAGCACGTGTTTCTCACAGGCTGAACAAATAGTGTCCCCTCTGTTTTCATGAATCAACATGTTCCTCCACCCCTTTGTCCAAATAAACCCTCAAAAAAGGACCTGAAGTTCCTTCATGACCAGTCATACAGGACATAGAATTGCCTCCAATGCCCCCTTCCTGGGATATTTGCTCCTAGGAGGACCTAGACCCAGACCTTCAATTTCAAAGGAATACAGCAATGACAGTGTCTCCTCAGTTGAAGGTGAGGAAGGTATTTGAGAGTTCCTAAGGCCCAGACTCAGGCCCAGGGAAGAGACAGAGGGGAGATGTAGAGACATACCTGGGCCAAGTCTAAAAATCAGAGGTGACCTTTATTGTATTGGTGGCAATTTCCCCAGCAGGAGTAAATGTGGGGTTTTGGGAGTGGCAGCACAGGCCACCTCAGAACTGGCCACCCCTCCCCCTCCTCAATCAACACAGAAGCCAAATGTGGCCCCAGCCACAGGCTCCAGCCTAGAGAGTGGCCACAGGGAAGGTGTCAGGGTCAACGTCACATGGAGCCCAGTGACTGTCAAGGCAGCTTGTTGCAAACAAGGCTGGAGTAGGAGGTCAAAAGCGAAGAACCAGCCACGGGGCAGCCCCAGGTGGCCCAAAGCAGCACAGAGGGCTTCAATCAGGCCTGAAGCATGCTGGGTCCTCAGGTCCTTGTGCAGAGCAGATCACGGCCTGGGTGGGCCTCTGAGGAAAGCCTGGAGCGGTCCAGAGGAGCCCCTGGAAGCTCAGTGGCAGCAGGTGGCTCCCCGAAGTTTTGGAGGTGACAGCTCTCAGGCTGCCGAGTCCTGAGCCCCCTTCCAGTGGGCAGAGGTCAGGAGCACCTGAGAGCTTGGTGGAAATCACCAAGACCATGGCTCTACCAAGGTTCAGGGGTGGGGCACAGTACCACCGGCGAGTGAGGACTGGCTGAAGGGCAGAAGCCATACTGCTACTGAGGCCCTGGGAGCCCACTGTTGCCGAGAGAGGGTAGTTCTGGGAAAGGGACGTGGAGGCAGCCTTGCTCTGTGCCAGTCCAGGCCAAGTTCCAGGAAAGCGGGACCAGCCGCTGGAAGAGGGCCATGTGAGCTGCATGAGGGTCATGAGGACATCCTCCGAGGTGCAGAGAGGAGTTGGAAGAGCTGCTGGCCCAGCCAGGAGCCCAGTATCACTTTATTTGCAGTACTCCTTCCTGAACTCTGGAAGCCAAGGGAATAGGCTGGTGTCTACTCTGCCCCTCCATGCCAGTGGGAAGCAGGGCAGACATCCAACAGCACTTCCCAGGGACTTTCGAGCACTGAGGGGGCAGGTGTTCCCCACCCATGGGGCTGGCTGGAACTGTGAGGTTGGGATTTCTGGGAGTAGGTGGAGTGGAGTATGGGCAGGGCTCTGAAATGGGCTGAGGGAGTCTCCCTCTGACCACTCACCTCTGTCCAGGTCGATGTTCTTTGCAGGCAGTGGGCTGTGAACCAGCTCAGCCCTCTCCTTCAGGATGTTATTTTTGTAATCTGATGTAGGGGAGAGCAGGGTGAGGTTTCCTCCCCCAGCCCAGGCCTGGGAGGCATATCTACATTTTAGTGTCCAAACTCCCCTTACCTAGTTGGAAGTCCTCACTCTTATAAAGAGTATGGTCTCCTGTGGCCACAGCAATCTCCACCATGTTCATGTCCTTCCTAGAGAGGGGAGTGGAGAGGCTTGAGCAGCGAGTGGGTTGGGCCTGTCCCCAGGAGGGCCAGGAGAGGGCACTCACCCCTGTGCATTCCCCAACTTCTTGTTTGAGTATTCATACCCTGAGGAAGGAAGATTCATATTGGAGATAGTCTCGGCCCCTCCCCCCCACGCACCTCTCACAGCCCTAAGGACCCCCGTCCCACCTGCAATGGGGCTCATTAGCCCCTGCAGACTGCTGATCCCCTCTTCCTCCTTGGCAGCCCGGGCTGCCCATGCATACTGGGACAGTGAGACCTCTGGCCTGGGAGGCTTCCCATGTCCTGACCTGACCCCTGCACTAGAGCCCAACCCTCACCTCTGGGAACCCAGGCCTCACCTCCTTGGCGGCGCTTGCGTGTGGCCAGGATGACTGTGATGAGCAGCAAGAGGAAAAGCAGCAGGGTGGCCAGCACGTAGCCCAGCTGCTGGAAGAAGTGCGCCTGGCCCTCAGGGACGATGACATTGATGACACTGCGGCCTCGCACCAGTGTGGGGTCTGAAGAAGCAGTGAGTGAGAGTGTCAGGGACTGGCACTGCCACGACCCACCTGCTCAGTGCACCTGACCCCACTGGGGCCTCCCCTGGACTAATGCATAGGTCCCTTAGGTGGAACAGGCCATCGGGCGGGGTGATTTCTGCTAACCACATCTCTCAGGAGAAGGGCATTCTGCGGATTCCCAGGGCAATTTGCATCACCTGGGCCTGGGGCACCGCTGTGGCTGGAGCCATTGCCTGGCGAACCCCGTGAGGGCGGCTCTGCGGCAGGCTCCACAGGCTCGGTGACGCTCAGGTGGAAGATCCGACGCTCGTGCAGACCGCAATAGTGGTGGTGCAGATGGCAGGAGTAGGTGACCTCGTCGGCCGGCTCCAACGGGTCTATGCACAGTGAAAAGTCGCCACGCGCGAAGGCGTCCGCCTCCACTGCCACGCGGTCACGCAAGAAGGATGGCCCGTAGGCCCGGCGCTCGCCAGAAGCGTACAGGTCTAGCAGTCGGTCTGCGCGGTCGTGCGGCACCCCAGGAGGCTGCCGGTCCCAGTGGACCACTTGCTGAGCCTCTTCCAAGTGCCGATCGGTCCACACGTGTGCGCGGTTCACGCAAGTCAGCAGCGCGGGGGCGCCACTCTCCACCACCAACACCTCCTTCTCACCGTCCCAGTATGCGTGGGCGGCCCGGGCTGCCAAGGAGGGAGAGGGGATCAGCAGGCAGCGCCTGGACAGGGACGGAGGGAGGGTGTGGGAGGGGGCTCACTCACGGTTGTCGGTGACCTCGAGTCGGATGGCCAGGCTCTCGTAGAGGTGGCAGTAATGGTGGTGCAGGTTGCAAGTGTACAGCCCCTCGTCTGCCTCCTCCACAGCTACGCACCGGGAAGAAAAACGTAGCATGAGCTGCTCGTCCGGCGGGCGCGCCCAGGGATCCCCAGTCCCAGAGCCCTCATACCGCGGATGAACAGAGAGAAGTTGCCTTCGTGGAAGGCGGAGGGCGACAGCAGGAGGCGGCCGCGGTCACGAGGTTCGTACACACGCTGCTCGCCCGCCGAGTACATGTCCACAAGACGGCGTGTGGGGCCGCGGTCTGGGCCGCCGTTGAAGTCCCAGTGCACCACGCGCTGGCGGTCGTGCAGCCGGTCTTGGGTCCACACCATGCGCGGGCTCTGGCAACGCAGCACCGCGCGAGCTCCGGCTGCCCAGCTCACCGCGGACTCTGACACTACGGAGCTGCTGGATGTTGCGGGCCCTGCTGGCCCTGGAGGGGAAGGAAAGTCGGTGGGGGAAGGGCGGGACCCAAGAGGACAGGCACAGGGTGGGGCGGGCAAGATGGGAGGGGGACTGGCAGGATTGGGAGAAAGGGCCCCCTGAGGTGATCTGGGCCCATAGCTGGCAGGGGCGGGTGATCACTAACCTGAGGATAAAAGAACCACAGAGCCTGGAAAGAGAGAGAGAGTAGGACCAGCAGTTAGCATAATGGCTATGTCGCTGGACCCCCACGTAGTAAACCGAGGTTGGTGTCCCAGACCTGGTGGCTTAAAACTCACACTGGGCACGTGTGCGTGCGTGCCCAAGATCCCGAGAGGAGAATGGAGGAGAAGGGATTGCGGCATGACCATCCCCCCTGGGGGGTGATTTCTTGCTTTCTGTCTCTATGTCTCTCTCTGTCTGTCTGGCGAGCGCATGCGCCCTATAGCGAAAACCTCTCCAAAAAAAAAGAGAGAGAGGGAGAGTAAGACTGAAGGCGATTTGTCACCCAGCCAGCCCAGGGACCTCACTTGGCTCCCTGGATCCCTCCTGTAGTCCTCAGCAGGGTGGAAGACCTGATACCCACTTAACAGACAGTAAAGCCGGAGAAGGCAGGAAGATGCAGGGTGGGAGCTCCTGCAGCCCCCATAGCAAATCACCTCTCACACAACTCCCCCCCACAACCATTGCCATCTTGCCTGGGCCACCTGCCCTTGGGTGTTTAGAAACAGAGGGTGCCCCCATGGCATGAGTGGTGGGACAGGGTTAAACCCCACAGAGGCCCACTCTGGAGTGTGTCCATGTCGGCAGGAACAGTGACCATCATTCCATTGCTACACTCAAAGCACCACCCAAGGCTGATTCTGGAGGCTCCCACCATGCTCCTCCAGAGATAGTAAGTGCCCCTGCCAAGGGCCATGTCACTTGAGCCCTCCAGGGTCCCCAAACCCTCAGACTACTGGGAGGCTAGCCCCACCCAAGGGCCCAGAGCAAAGCCTCTATCCCCACAAGAAAGCTGGATGTGAGGAGTGACACCCCCCCACCATCTACCACCTCACAGATCTAAGTTCCTGCTTGTAGTGAATTAAAATTTCATGTTCCCTTGGCACCCCTTCTGGGTATAAGTTGGACTTTCTCGAAGTGAAAGCAGGGCTCAGTCACCCCGCTGCAGTTTCCAGGTCTCTCCCTCCTCCCGGTTCTTCAAGGTGTTGGATGCAGATATCTGCCTTCTACAAGTGCCTCCTGATGGCCACCTTCCTATGGGACAGCCAGTGCAGCCTACTGGGCTGGCCCCAGTGACCCTCACATCCTCCACAGACTTGACAGATGTGCTGCAGTGTCCACCGCTCAATCACAGCATGACCCCAGGGAACTTGTGCCCACTCTCTCTAAACCCACACATTAAAACTCCCTGAGGGAAAGAAGGAAACCTGTTCAGATATTGCCCTGAACCTAATAAAGGCATTAGTCCAGGGGTCCCTGCCTGCTTCTCTCCTGGTACTGACCAACCTCTGTATGATTTGCAGGCATGCCTGGATGCCCTTGTAAGTTATAAAAAAATTTTATTTTCATCTTCAGTCTCTAATAATTGAAGAGGTGCTCTCCGTCTTAAAGATCCTAAATTAAAGTACTGTTCCAGAGATGTGGCTGAGTGCCCAGTGGCCTCCAAGAGGAATGTGCAGGGTCAGCAGGCCAGCTCTAGAGCGGACTCAGGGGGCCTAGGAGGGGAGGGGCTGAAACAGACCCTGCAAACCCACCACTGTCAGGATGCCCTCAACCCCCAATCCCACTCCCCTCCCCACTACCCGGAAAAGTGCAGATCTGAGAGGCTTCCCGGAGAGCCCCACCTAGAGTGGGCACAGGAAAGACCCCTGAGGGAGACATGTTGGGGCCTTAGCCTCCCTCCCTCTTGGCTCTCTAGGTCCAGCATCCCAAGAAGTCTGACAAAGTTCAGCTGAAGACTTCACTCTCTGCCGGTGAAGCACTCTCTTGAAGGCGTCCTGGATCGTCCCCTGCCCTGGCTGGGCGTCCCATCTCCCGCTGGCCCTCAGACTGGCCATTCTGCCTGAAACACTGAATCTGCTCAGGCCCACCTGCTGGGCCCGCACCTTGACTCCCGCCCCGCTGCACTCACTCTGTAGAAGCACAAGTTTCCACAGCAGAACGCGAGACGGCAGCTCCATGGCGCCTGCCCAGCCCATAGCCTCGCTTTGTCTTGCTCCGCTCCAGTTCTAACTCTCCAGAAAAACAGCCCGACCCCCTCCTCCTCCTTAGCACCCGCTATGACATCACGGAGCCCTGGGCCGGGTCCACAGTCTGCGGACCGCCCACTCCAGCTCCTCCCGGGTCCCTTGGCCTCTCCTATCCTCTGCTGGCCTGGGGGCTGGGGGGCACTGCAGCCATCCAGTCCCGGACAGTGGGGGTTGTCAAAGCAGAGACCCAGCCCTCTTGCTGGCTGGATTCTGGGGAGGGGCAAAAGAGCCTGAGCACAGATCAATGCTGCGAATGAAGGCGAAGGCGTGTCTGTGACACCTGGGGCCGCTCCAGGGCTGCCACAAGGCTAGGGTTCTGGGCTGAGCAGCCCCTCACCCTACTTTTGGCATTTCTCCACATGAGCAGCCTGGCAGTGGTGGGGCAAGGTCGTCCCCTCTCTGGCTGTCTGCAGCCAGTAGAAAGGCATCCAGGTGCTGGGAGACCTCCATACTGCACATGCCTCATACCCTCCTGCCAGACCAGGTGGCTCCTCCAGCTCTGACCCCTAGTTGTGAATGACCTTGATACACCCTTCTCTGAGTGGCTATGGAAGTCTCCCTCAGGGTCTCGATGAGCCCCTCTGCTCAGCGATCTCCAAAGGAGCCCTCCAGGGACATAAGAGGTGGGTACCAAGCCACCTTGTGGTTAGCAGACCTCTCCGCTTCTGGCCTGGCTGCCCAGAGGCTGCCCACCATCCAGAGCCTGGTGTCCCTGAAACTAGACAGTGTCTGGTTTCAGGGCTCCTAGGAGATCCCACCCACCCATATCCCACCTACCCAGACCTGGGTTAAAGGGTTGCTGGGAGGCCCCGCCCACCCAGGCTCCACCCTGCTTAGACTTGGATTTTAGACCGCCACCCTGGAGAAAGGGGGAGTGGGAACCCGCACCTCTGCCATGGAAGACACAAATTTGAAGCCCTGGGAAAACTTACAAAGTCACATACACAAAGGGGAAATAACAGAGCACGTACTGTATACCAAACCCACTCCTTCTAGTTAAGCAAACCTCAAAAAAAAAAAAAAAAAAATCCAAACAACCACAAAAAAACCTCAGTGCATAGTTTAGGCCACTGTTTGGACTGAGTTATTGTTACAGGCCCCAATCCCTGTTGGGTGGGGGACCCATCCTTGAACCCTGTTCTGAGCCCCAAGTCTTCAGAAAAGCTGCAAGCCCGGCTCAGTTCAGATCTCGGTCTCTGGACAAGGAGAGGAGGCTGCTGTTGCTGCAGTGAAAGGGAACAGGGGGACAGTAGGGAGGATGGGCTATGAGGACACTAGAGGCCCCCACCACTCCACCCCAGGACCTAGCAAATCGTTTTCCTTAGTAGAATCCAGGCGCAGGGGTGGAGCACCTTTTCAAAACTGGAATCAGGGCAAAAATTTGATTCCCTGGTCCCCAGCTCCTCCCTAGGCCTTTCATTCTGGAAAAACAAGCCCCGCCTGGCCAGCCTCAAAGCCTGGCCTCTCCTGGCCTCTCCTCCTGTTTTTCTAACTGGTTCATATTAGTGCTGGCAGCCTCCATTCCGCCATCCATGTCTGCTGTCTCAGTCTCACACCAGGGCTTGACCTCTGCTATGTCTCTGTCTCTCCATCTTTCTTTCTCTATTCCCTCCTGCCTGCAGGCTCTTATCCTTCTCTGACTCTGTCTCCTCACAGAGTCAGGATGTCCAACCAGTGCTGGAGGGAGGCAGGGATTGCCCAGGACTGGCCCTTGGGTCTGGAAGAGGACTCAGCTCCAGGCACAAAGGCTGGAAGGATCTAGGAGGAGCCAGGGGCACCTGGTGTACAACTCTGTCTCAGGACAGGGCACTCTGAACCCCCTGCAGAATCTTCTTTCAAGCAGCTTCCCTGGCCATTGGGTTGTGCTTGCTGAGGTCCAATGGAGCCCTTGAGCTGCAGACCCAGCCAGATATAGACCTCAGGGCCAGATGCTGAAATCTGAGAGGGCCCAGACCTCTGAGAGGGCCTACTTGGGGGTAACCCCTTGGATCCTCAGGCAAGGATGGACAGAGACAGTGGAGGGTTGTAACCTCTCTCCCTTCCCATCCTGTTTTCTCTGCTTGGAGGCCAGTGGAATCAAGATGCACAGCAGACAGCCCGCTGCCCCCCCTCCATCCTCGCAGGAAATAGCCACAGAGAGCAGAGGCCCAGCGGGCAGCCTGGGCTGCTGACCAGGCCACCTGCCCCTCCCACACCAGAGGACCTGAGCCCCTCCTGCTCCTTCCTGGGCTGGGTCTGTGAAGTCCCCCACATGCCTGTGGGCTGATCACTGTGCTGTGAACATGCAGCTTTGTTTCCTACCCTTGCCTGGCATCTTTGTCCCTCTGGAAAAAGGATAGACCAGGACAAAGCAAGGCTGTGAACATCACTATACTCTGGCCAAGTCTCCAACCAGACCAGAGCTTTGGGTCACCTCTCCTCCTCCTAGGAGGTGTGGCTAAACAGGGGGGGGGATGGGGAGGGTCAGCCAGCTCAACTGGAACTCAGTTCCAAGACTGGGAATCAGATGTTGGCTCCTATTCCTGGTGACTTGGACATTCCAGGCAGTCGGGCTCACTGGGAAGAAAAACCACAGGCACTCGGACACACACACACACACACACACACACACACACATACAAAGAGAGAGAGAGAGAGTTAATAAAAGGGCCCACAGCCTCTTCCCGCTCAGGGCTGACTTTAGACCTATACTCTGATAAGATGATTTTATACATTGTGAAAAGTATATCAACAGAATAAAACAGAGCAGGGGGCTCCCTCCACTGGACTGACCAAGAACAGCCTCCAAGAGAGTGACTAATGTACAAGTAAATGACAGGCAAAGGCCTGAGGACACCTCCTTCCAGGTACAGGGAACAGCAAGCTCTGGGCTCACAAAGAGCAGTGATAAGACACGGTCTTATCAGGGGGGACCCTGGTCTGGCTGGGGGGTTTGAGCTGATCATACAGGAAAATACCAAATGGTTCAAGCTGTTAGGATTTACATGAACATACAAGGAAAACCATCCCTAGAAAATCTATTGGTGGGAAGAATTCCTAGACAGTTCCCAAGACTCCTAACCACTGTTGTCCACATCCTACACTGTCCCCTCCCATTATGGTTCCCCATCTGGGGTCCTGGGGTGCGATAGTTACTCCCATCCTTGACTCAGTCATGTGCTAGGAGGTCACTTCCCCTATTTATCATAGCAGGCTTGAGTAGCTGCCCTCTTGGAGAAGCAAATACCACGAGTTATGCTACCACTGTGGAAGGGCTTATTGGGTGGACCATATGCAAGAAGCTGAGAACAGTCCTCAGACAACAGCTGAGAAGAAACTAGACTTCAACCTACAACTGAAAGGACTTGAATTCTGCTAACAACCTTGATGGCCTCAGATGAGAATATCGTCTTGGGTGACACCCAGACTTCAGCCTGTGCTAAGAACTCAGTGACTCGTTTGCAGACTCCTAATCCGTGGACACTGTGAGGTAATAAATGTGTTGCATTAAGCCACTAAATAGGCAGTGAGACAATAAAAGACTAATACAACTGTCTCCCAGAACAAAGCAAGGGCAGGACTTGAAGGGTAAAAGCTACAACTTTCACAAGAAAAAGCAATTGGCTGGTTTCCAGAAGTCCTTGGTTTCTTGGTTTGAGATCAGCTACTGGCAGTGGGGTTTGGTGTGGGTGGACTGCAGAGCCACAGGTCCACTTAGGTTCTGTTAGGAAATGCATTGATTCATTATATCCACAAGGTTGAAGCCAGTCAGTTAGTGGCATCACAGGTCACGAGCACTCATCATTTCACCCTCAGACCAGTTTTCTGCTGGTTCTGACCAGTTTTCCTGGAGTGGTCGCTGGCGTGTGTATTGGTCCTTCTAGGGTCCTGACGGTTTGCCATGCTGCCATTTCTTACACCATAAGACAGGACGTTCCAAAGACCCCATATCTGCAAATCTGGATGTGCACCCAGAAGAAGGCTGGCACCCACAAGAACTCTCTTCTCCCTCTGGTGGGGATCCACAAGTTGGATGACCTGTTGACAGGGACCGAGAGATAAGTGATGTATTGAGACATTGTGATTCAAAAGACAACTTGAAATGACAAAAACAATATTTTGTAGACTAGTCAATATTTTTATATGGAGAAAATGTCAATGAATCAAGACAGAAGGTTTTTGGGTTTTTGTTATTGTTGTTTTAGTTTTTGCTACAGGGCATGTATGTTTGCCAGAGACAGAGAGAGAAAGTGAGACATCACCCCTCAGGGAGGATGGCCACACTGCAATCCCTTCTCCTTCAATCTCCTCTAGGGGTTTTGGGCACACATGCACACCCATACACACACTTGGTGTGATTCACAAGCCATCAGGTGTTGGACTAGAACCATGCAGTTGGCCATGTGAGATCCAGCTCCTTAACCCCCACACTACCTGCTGGCCCAAGCCCAAAGGTTTTACCAGTCATGATCAGGATCTCAGTCAGACGTGTCCTGCCTCATTGTCACTAATGTAGTGTTCTCTACCGAACTTATCCTGTCTATAATAGTGCAGCAAAATTTGCTGACTAATACACAGAACTCTCCTCTAGGGGCCATGATCTCAGGCTCAAGGGTTATCCTCTATATTTGTAATCTCTTCTATCATGACAAAATATTTCTTAATTGGGGATCAGCAGGTGGCATGGTGGTTAAGGTACTAGACACTCCCACATGGCCGACCACAGTTGGAGACCTGAACCTGGTGGCTTGTTTTCTCGCTTTCCCTCTCTTTCTCTGTGGCCAAATTAAAATAAAATAAATAAATAAAATTAAAATAGATAATTCTTTTAAAATATATTTCTTGGGACCAGCAGTGGTGTAATGGCTATGTCACAGGACTCTCATGTAGTCGACTACTGAGTCCCAGACCCAGTGGCTTAAACTCATGCCAGTGGGGGTGGGGCGGTGGGGGGGTGATTTCTCGCTTTCTGTTTCTCTTTCTCTGTCTTTCTAGCAAGCATAGTGACAGGGAAAGTGAGAA